AAAAAAAAAAAACTTCTCCCCAGATCCTGGTCATTTGAAAAGAAATATTATCCTCAAAGAAAAGTCTTTACTTGAGATCTGAAGTACAAAGCATATTTATCTTGTTCCAAGCTAACCTTGCCAAGGAGATTGGAATTTAAATAAGGCTATTCTGGAACGCATTAATCTTGGGTGGTGGTGTAGCAGAGAAAGCCTGGGCCGTGAAACACCTTGTAGGTGTGGGGGTCCATTCAGGACTGCACAAGTTTTATTGATGTTTTTTTCCTGGATCCCTCTGCCTGATGGGCGACCTTGTCTGTGTTGAGGGGAGGCTGGCAGAGTCCCTGTTTACTACACACAAGACCCTTCCTTCTAGCTTCTGAGAAAAGACTGTGGCTCTCAGGTGGGAACTGACCTCATGCTCTTGCTCGGAGAGCTCCATACCTTTGCCCCCTGGCTCCACCTCTGCACTCCTCCCCCCTGCAGACCCTGCCCTGCTTCCCACACCCATCCAGGGCTACTCTTAGCCTGCACTCCTGCATTCCTTAGCCACCTGCCCTTCCTCTGAGCATGCCAAAGCCTCTCCTAATTTAGAAGCAATCAAAATGGTCTTCCCTGCATTGTGTGATGTGCTGGCCACTGCCTTGTCTTCTCTTCCCCCTTCATATCAGAGGTTACTCTTAATGAAGAATCTATACTGCCCCTCTCCTCTTCATTCATCCCCCAAGTGATTTTTCCTGATGCTCCTCCTTTACCTGTAAAGACACCCAGGACTTCCTCCTTCTCCTCTCCAATCCAGAGAATCACCTGCATATACAAAATGCCTCTTGGGTCTCAAATCCTGGATTTCCCAGGGGCACTCAAGATCATCCTGTCCAAAAGTAGGGTGGTCACTTACCCATCACCACTAGCCCCAGCACAGACCTTCTTCCCTTCCTCCTTTATTCTGAGTCTTGATAAGCAAGACTACCTTACTCCCTAGGGACACAGTCCTTCTCAGCTTTCCCATGCCCCCCAAACCTCCACAAAGCAGGTTGGTTTTACCTCCCTGTGGCTCTTCTCCCTTTGCTGTGAATGCCTTTTGGATCCATTGCAGGGCTTCAGGGATGGGGAAGGGGGAGGACTCAGCTCAGGCTCCTCCTGCTTCTCCATCTACCTTCCACTAACACAGAATTGCAAATTTAACCTTTCTTAATTTATTTCAACAACCTTTTATTGCTTAAAAATAAAAGACAAATATTTAATTTGGCAGGAAAAAGATTTTCTTTTTTAAGACAGAGTCTTACTCTGTTGCCCCAGACTAGAGTGCTTTGGCCTCAGCCTAGCTCACAGCAACCTCAAACTCCTCTGCCCCAGAAATCCTCCTGCCTCAGTCTGCCAAGCAGCTGAGATTACAGGTGCCCACAGCAACACCTGGGTAATTTTATTTATTTATTTTTATGAGAGATAGGGTCTCACTCCTTTTCAGATTGGTCTTAAACTCTCGACCTCAAAGGATCCTCCTACCTCAGCCTCCCAGAGTGCTAGGATTACAGGCTCAAGGCACCATACTGGCTCACAAAAGGATCTCACAATCTTATCCTGTATCAGAGCTCAGGGCACCTGTATTATAGCTCAGTATTTAAAAGCATGAACTCTAACTAGCTATGTGACCTCGAGCAAAGTTCTTAGTCCCTCTCTGTGTTTCAGCTTCCTCCCTTGAAAACTATGGATAATTATAATACTATCATTCCAGTGAGGTACTGGGAACATCAGATGTGTTAATATACACAAAGATTTTAGAGCAGCACTGAACACACAGGAAGTGTTGTATCAATTTTGTGGGCTGCCTGCAGTCACCCTCACCATTGCCCTCCGCTGCACACGAGTTGCTAACACGATACTCTCCAGTCACAACAAGCAGCAAACAGTTCCCCAGACACACTGTGGTGGCTATTTCATGCCACGGAAGCTTTGTCCTTCCTCCTTTTTGTTGACCTTCTAAACTCCCATTTATCCTCCAGGACTCAGCTCAGATATCACTTCTGCAGGGAAGCCTTCCCAAATACCCTGAGACTTGAGCCACCCACTGCACTCCCAATGCCTCATGAACTTCCGTTTTAGGATGCTTCATTTCAATTAATTATTTTTAAAAATGACGGTTACTGTTTTTGAGCGTGTGTCACATGCCAGGCCCTGTTCCAAATACTTAACATGTATTAGCTGATTTAAACCCCACAGCATGACCTGTTTAATAATGGGTTTACATGTCTGTCATTCCTCCTAGCTTGGGAGGCTCTTTATGGGCAAAAATGTAAGTCTGGATCATCTCTGAATTTCTAGCACCTAGCAAGGTGTCTGGTGTGTAATGAGTACCTAGGTAAATTAACATCTCTTAATTGAGACAATCAGAAATGGGCTGCACTCAGAGAAGGACGGGAAGGCACACAGATTAGTGACATTGAAGGACATCTAGAGTAAGACAGATGGGAGTGGACCTGAAATTCATCAGTGCTATAAACAAAGACTGCTATAACTTCCTCACTCCATTATTAAATCACTATTACTATATGAACATTTTCTACAGTGCTGAGGGGTTTAATGTGCTCTCCTTTGATTCTGTACTGTCATATAATTTCAGGTCTTTCCAAGGACATAATAATACAATTCATGATGACTTTTTATTTCACGCTCTTGCTTTAAGGGTCACATACAAAGTTCTGGGACGTGTATGGCCTTTAACTCCGAGGTTGCCCACCTTTGACGGAGCATAAAGAGATACTCACCCTGACAACCTATTCTTCTTGATGAACACCAAATGGAAATTTGCCACAAATCACAGAGAATTATAGTCAAGAGTTAAAGTTGGCTCGGCGCCTATACCTCAACCGGCTAAGGTGCCAGCCACGTACGCCTAAGGTGGCGGGTTCGAATCCC